CCCCATAATCCACTGGGAGAGGGCGCGCCTGGCCACGTGCTGCGGCGTCGCCATTGCGAGAAACATGTAAAACAACAAAACAGGCCCATGCCGATGAATAGCGCAATCGCCTGGCGCGCCCCGCTCGGTCGCAGGAATCGGGCCCGGCCCTGCCCGGGGCAGGCGGCGCGCCACTGCCGAGAATGGCACGCGCATGCGACGCGAGCGCCCGCCATCAGGGGGACCTCGGCGCGGACCAACGGCGCTCGAACGCGCGCGACAGGCGCCGGCGCAAACTAGGGCAGCCAAGTCAGACGTCAAAGCTGCAGGCGCCGCCGAGGTTACAGCAATCCTCGAACAGCTCCTGGAAGACGTAAAGACGAGGCGGCAGTAGCTCAGCGGCCACGACAAGGCGACCCAGCTGCAACGGGACGCACGCGTAAAACGACGGCGTCTGGTACTTTGGGCACATCCTTGTTGGCCACTCTCTTCCGCGATGCACGTCGCGCCAAACGTCGACCCTCTCCCGCGTCAGCTCCAGGATGCGCCGCGCGCAAGACTGCCCCCATGCAAATCAGTCGCCCCCGCGAGGCCTGCGCCGGGGTGCGAGCGCCCTTGGGGAAAACCCGCGCTGCGATGCTCTCGGGAAACAAGTGGAGACCCACTCCAGGAAAAAGCTCGGAGGCAGCCGCGATGCCCATGACCGGCGTCGAGCGCGCGCGAGGCCGAGACCCCGCAACCCGCTGGGAAAGGCCGCTCACCCGCGCGCGCTCGGACAGCGTGGGGCGGGCGATGCACGGCAACGAATGACCGCCTATGTCGCGCAGCGAGCGAGGTGGGCCCCGTGCCGCAGCGCTTGGGCCACCGGCGTGTTAGGTTGAAATAGCTCCAACAAGATATCCAACTGGCCCATCGCACGATGACTAAACACGCACATACATACACACATGCAGCTCGGGAAATGCAAGGACAGGGGGGGGGCGGGGGGGGCGAGAACTTCACCGCGCAGCGCGCTAATGGCGCCCGCCAGGTCGAGTCATGGAATGGGTCGACGTCAGAGCGAACTGTTGTTGGCAACCGCTGCTTCCCAGACTGGCCCCTCGTCGGAGCTCCATTCGCGCGCGAGGCGCTCGCTGGTCATGGGCCAGTCGCGGCGCGGCGCGGCGATCGAGCCATCGCCGCCCGACCTCTCGCCGAGCGCGCGCCCGGCGCAGGCGAGCGCCGGCCGGGGCCCAGACGGGCCCCTCTCTATCGCGCGGCATTTGGCGCCCAGCCCCTGCAGGGCAGCATCGGGGGCCCGCGCCGCGTCTACTGGCGATAATCGCGGAATCCCGAGGCCCGCCTTGGCCTGCAGGGCCCCGGCCGCGCCGCGCGCGGCTTCGATCGTGAGAGGAGGCAGCCCTTCCACCGAGGCCCACGAATGAAGGCGCACGTGCTGTCGACCTCTTGGATCGTGAGAGACGGCGACCTCCGTGGGCCATGTCACTTGGAAGCTTTCTTATTCTTAATTAGCATTGGGTGAGCGAAACATGGCCGATGATGCTGATTTCCCTCTTGGCGGGGAGGCGGGTCGTCCAGGCCGCGGCGAGCGACGCCGACGGCGTCCGTGTGGTGATCCAGCCTTGGAACTCGCATAGCGAAGCCTCAGCAGCTCTCGATTATGCGCCCCGCTCTTCCTGGAATGCCCATTCCTCAAAATCTCAGGCGCGCCCAACTGACGCGGCGCCGCGATTTCGCAGAGCCGCCTGGATGACCGACCCCCCCCCGAACGTCGGGAGAGCGATTGCCGCTGCGCCGTCGGGGGCGCCGTTGGCCACCTTGGCGCCAGCCTCAGCCAAGTGCGCAAGCTGGGAGAACCCTTTCTCCCGAGACTTGCGCCCGGCCACCTGCTGCGCCGCCGCGCGGGCGCTGCGCCGCCGAGCCGCCGCGCCGTTGCGATGGGGGGCGCGCCCGAACGCTGGCTGATTGGCGCGCATGAATCACCGGCAACTGTCATCTTCCAGCGCGCGACCGGCGAGGGGCGCAAACGCCGCGGCGCAGCGAGATGGCCCGTTCGACCTTGGTCACCAGGGCAGGGCGTTTGCCGCTGACGGGCAGCGCGCGAGCCCGCCCCGTGCGAAAGTCCAGCGGCTGGCGGGCGGCGGGGAGAACATCATCTAGCGAGTGCAAGAGCCAACCGACGTGATCCAACGCAACGGACCAAGTAGAGGCAGGACGGGGGGGAATAGGGGGCAGCAGCGGCGGCGAAACCGGCGACTGGCGGGCGGGGCGGGGTCGTGACCAGCTCCGATGGGGCCTGGCCCTATAGATCGCCGGGTTGGGCTCCGCTCTCCCCCGCGCCAGCTGCTGCGACGGGCGGGGCGCGATTTTGCTGGCCATTCTTGGCAGCCGAGGGGGGCCCCGGACTAACCTGGCCTGCAGGCTGAAAGCAAGGATCGGAGGCCCATGCCCGCCTCTTCTACAGGCCCCCCCCAAACCGACAAGAAACAAATCGTCGCGCTGCTCCTCGCCGACGACTGCCGCGGACGGGCCGCGGGCGCCGCTCGCCCCCAGCGACGGGTCTTCGCCGCCCCGCCCGGCATCGCCCCCTTGGAGCGAGCGAGAAGATCACCCAGCTGCAGGTCCTGCCTGACGTCTGCGAACACGTGGCACACGAGGGGCGACTTCAAGGGACCTCGCGAGCAGCTGCTTGCCCGATCCTACGAAGGCGAGAGGTGGTCAATGCGGCTTCCATGGCGCATGCGAGGCGGCTTCAAAGCAATTGACAGGAGGTCGACAGCACGAGCATGGAATCACATAGTCGACGCATGAATCCCTAGAGCCCCCTGCGGAGGGGATCTCCACATATGAACGCAGAACGTGGCCCCCCAACGTTTTGAACCATGCAGCTTGGATCATATGATTGAAATCGAGATTGAAGCCGCCGGCGAAGATGCACCGCAGCAGCTGGAGGCTCTTCCCGAACAAATCGCGCGTGGCGCCGCTGTTTTTCCTGGGCGAACCCAATCCCCGAGTAGCCGTATAAGGTGGTGGCAATGAAAGAGAAAACGTGATGATGTATAATGGTGGAACTGCGCCCGTTCAAAGACGAAGACCCTTGTGCGCAGAATTCGGCATGCTGTCGAACGTGCTCGGCAAACCGATGCACGTGTCGGCAGTTGCGCGCCATGAAGTGCCCTCCCGCCCCCGCGGGCTCTTTTGTTCTCTCTCCATCCCTCTCCCTGGTACCTGCGGTGGCCCCGCGCCCCGTGGCCCTGGCCCCAGGTGCCCAAGAAACGCCCCCGCAAATGTTGAGCTTCCTTGGCATAGGTCGTTGAGACTGGAGCCTGACCCCTGCGTGGAAGTTCCAGCCAATCCGACGCATTGGTAGCGACTTGAAAGCCCATTGCTCGACAATTCGCCCCCCAAACGTCGGCCCAAGGCATGCCGCGCCGGCAGAAGGACACGCGGCGCGCGACCTCGTCGTCGGCGCGGACCGTCGGAGGGGGAGACGCCGTCGTGGCAGAGGAGGGCCCTGGGCCTCCTGAGCCCATGAGCGGCCGAACTAAGGCGTCCGCCGACGCCGCCGCTGCAACCTCGGCGGCCCCCCGAGCCTCGCGCCACAGCGGCGCCCGCCGCCGCGCCACCGCCCCTGGGCTGCAGCTGCAGCCTGCGCAGCGCCGGCGGCCGCACGCGTCTGCCGAGTGTGCTCGACCCCGCGCTCGACCCCTTCCCCTGACGGTCTGGCAGGCGTGGGTGCTACACTCTCCGACTGCGTCCCCGAAGTAGCCGCTGTACTCTCTGAATTAGACCCGGCGCGCCGCTTCTTGGCCGTCCTCTTCTTGATGACGCCCTGCATCTCGAGGACCTTCGCTTTCCACCCCTGGATCTCGGGGGGGCTGGTCGAGAGATTCGGCTTGGTCCTCCGCAGGCTGCTCGAGCTTGCGCGAGGTTTCTGTCCCCTCTGCACTGCGCCCCGTCTCTTCCAAGTTCGCGAAGAAGCGGGTGCCCCATTCAAAGTTGGCGAGTTCCCCTCTGAGCCGCACCTGCCCCCCGAACATCTGAGGAGTGGAGCTGACTTCACATGAGGTGCCTGCTTCCTGTTCGAACGCTCGAACGGCGATCTTCCTGCTGATCCCCGCTTAGGCTAGGGTTCTGATGGTTTCGACCCCCCTCGACTTTGCATTCTCTATTTTTCCCACAACGAATGACAGAACATGCTGATTGATCGTACCTGGTGGATGCATATGTCCAAGTCCCTTCGGCCCGCCGCACGGCCCCGGCGGCCAGCACGCTCGGGGCCGTGGGCGTTTGAACCGACACTGCCGTCAGAACCTACACCCCGCGAAATGCTTAAGAAATCATGGGTTAAGAAATTCATAGTCTCAGAACTTGAGCAATAACCCAACATTCCAATTAAACTCTTAAGCTTTACATTGAAACGTTAAGAATAATCGAGACTCTGGCCGAAAACTTGGGTTTTCTTAAGCATCGCCTAAGGTGTACATCTGGGGCGCCTGCTTCAAAGGCGGGTCGGCGGACAGGGCGGTAGCCTGCTCCAGCAGGCTCTGCACCGTCGGGGAGCAACCGCCTGCGGCCACACCGCCAACCAGGTCGTTCGGACTGCTGACGGTGCCGCGCGGTAGCCTGGTTTTGTGCAGCTTGACCTGACGATTGCCTTTGCGACATGTGCTGTTCGCCTGCTGGCGCGCATCATTCTACTCACAGCGCACTTGCAAGTGGACCAAGGACGAGAGGCCATCACACCCGTCGAGCTGATCTGGTCTGAACTTGTCTTTCCCAGTTGGACTGACCGCGAAATGATCCGCGCGAGGGAAGCAAGCTGCCCCCCAAGCACTGGCGTGGAAGTGAGAGGTCTTGGATCGAGGGCATAACAAAATGATGCGCTCGAACCAATATGTGCTCGGGGGGGAGGAGGGAGGGGAGGAAAAGAGGAAAAGGGGGGAGGGGGAGAAGGAGGGTGAGGACGAGGAGAGGGGTGGGAGGAGAGGGGCGAAGAGAAGAGAAAGGACGGCCGACGCCTGGACACCTTGCCGCTGCCCGCCGCAGCGCGAACGGCCTCCTCGACGTGGGGCGGGAGGGGGCTCGGGAGTCGAGGGCGCGGGGGCGGCTGAAGAGATCCCCTGCGCCAGTCGTCGCCCTCTTCACTCCCTTCTCCAGAGGAGCAAAAGGTACCCATACCGCTACCTTTCGCCCGACTTCCCCTCGTTGGGCCTCCTGGGGGGCCCTCGTCGCCACCACAAGATTCGCCTCGAAGCTTTGGTCAGAATGGACCTGGACCCGGGGAAATGTCTGGAGAGTAGCGGTATCGGTGTCTTCTGGTTCCCCCACTTCTGGCGGGCGGGATGTCAGTGCTGCGCACGCCGTTCTTACCTTGGCTCTGGGGAAGCCAGAATCAGCCAACGATCGGCGCACAGACTGCTGTAATGCCGCGTCCCGCCGACCGACCAACCTCCTTCCCGATCTGGCACTGGAGAAACGCGTCCTGGGTCCCCTGCTCTTTCCCCTGGGACCCGCTCCCCATCCCGAGCCGTGCTCTGACGGGGAGGCCCCCGAGACCCGAAGCTCAAGAGCGGCGAGAAACCTTTACAGATACACACATGCATGTGTGTATCCGGGGATGGGGGATGCCCGAGGATGGACTGGAGAGCCCCCCCACCTTGAAATCGGTTTCGGTTTCGGCTTGGTGTCGCGCGTGCGGGAGAGGCGAAGCGAAGCTGCATGGGCGAAAGGAATTACCCTGCCGTGGCTAGGGCGGGGCAAGACAAAAGACCGCCCCTCCGGTGTGCCAGCATGGCCGGGTGTGTCCAGCCGTGGTGTCCCGCCGTGGTGTCCCGTCGGTGCTCCGTCGGCTTCCGCGTCGGTGTCCCGTGAGTGGCCTCTTGGTGTCCCGTTGGTGTCCCGCCGTGGGTGTCCTGTCGGAAGTGAGATCGATGGTGATATCGACTGCGAGATCGATAGTGAGATCGATAATGAGATCGGTAGAGTGGGATCGCTAGAGTGAGATCGATAGAGTGAGATCCCTAGAGTGGGATCGGTAGAGTTAGATCGATAGAGTGAGATCGATAAAGTGGGATCGATAGTGAGATCGATCGTGAGGTTGATGGTGAGAGTGGCAGTGAGATCGATTGGGGGATCGGTGGTGAGATCCATTGAGTGAGACGTTGGTTCCTCCCCCCCACACCGCCTCCGTATCACCCGAAGGGTGGTCGTATAGCTGCGTATATCTCGTATGAATAGACATGGTATACGTGAAATTACATAAACAGGTATCTACATATTGTGCACCTCTCCTCCAGGACCACTTTGCCGCATGTTGGCGCAGACAGCTGGCGGCTCAAAAGATGGCGCCGCAGCTTCATCACAAGCCGTTCTCAGGGGAGAGGGCGGTCGACCCTTCGAATCCTCAGCGAGGGGGGCCCTCCTGGACTGCACTGGTTCAGGCGGGCTGAGACTGTCGACGGGAGTCCCTGAACAGAGCCCCATCGGACCTGGGCCAAGGCCTGCTGCACGCGGGAGTGGCCCTGCGCAAGAGGTGACCTCCGGTGAGTGGCTTGCGGATCGCTGCATGCGATGCGACAGTAGCGGCCTGTGTGCTTTGGGTATGGTCCCACCCCCTGCGGCCCCCGAATGCCGCGCACCAAAGGCCACTCTGGCAAAGGGTCACCCAGGCGCGTGACCGATAAGGGTGCGCCTTGTATCCCGTTGACGCCCCCCCGGCTTCGAAGAGCGGAAGCGCCCGGCGACCCGGGCCTGGAGCTCCGAGGCCACCGTGGCTTCTTCGCGGCCCCCTCCTCCGACGTAGACCCGGTGCCGCACTCTTGCTCGTGACTTCGGCCCCCGGGGACCTCGACACTGACCCGCCGGGCCTGGCGCCGCCGCGACACTCTTGCCGCGAGGCCCAGGGAAAGCCGAAGCCACGTGGGCCCCCGGGGGGGCTCGCCCGCGCACCTCAGGGGGACAGCGCTGCTCGCCGCCGGTCTTGGCGGGCCATGGTTGGCTTTTTTCTTCCGCGGAGTTTTGGCTGCAGTGACGGGTGGGCGAGGAGAGAGAGCCTCGACCACAAGAGAGACAGATTGCAGCGGCTATCTCTACTTGAAGCTGCAGGGCGACCTGCAGCTTGCGGGCCATGGCAGGTGCACGCACAAGGTAGTATGGGGGAAGGGGGAAAGGCTTCTTAGAAGAAGGGGTGCTTCTACGAAGCCTTTCCCTGTCCCCCTGCCCCCCTCTGCGCGTGGTCGACATGTTGTCCTGGGGACGGTCCAGAGAGGTCCCTCTGCCACAACCCCTCGCACCGGGTGCTACCTCTTCTCGAGCCGCGTCCGGCCGTGCTCACGAAATCTGGCGCTGCGATGCTTCGCGGCGTGGCTCCCCAGAGGTCCCTCCCCGTGAGCGCTGCTGCTTCGTCCTGCACGTCGCTCTTGACGGCCCTGGGGTTCCGAGGAAGGCTTCCCCCGATCCAGACTGAACGCTGCGGGACAGCACCACCTCGGCGGCGCGAACCTGTCGAGCTGCCCGAGATCTGGGCTCCCCTGGGCTCGTGCGCGTCTCGGCTAGAACGTCGAGAGGACGCCAGTCCCACCCAGCGAGAGCGACGAGTGCCCAACAGATACATCAATCATCGGACCTGCATAATTTATCCTCCTGCCGCAGCTTGGCGGCACGCAAGCCATGTAGTTGACGCGGGCAGTTGACCTCTGCCTCCCCCTGCGGGCTCACCCCGTAGAGTGACAAAAAAAACAGCAACACCAACAGGACAAGTGCCAGAGGTCCGCGTTGGGCCGGCGATGGGTCCCCCTCCCCTGGCGAACGAAGCGAACCATGAGCGGCGATGGAGGCGCCGCCAGAGGGGTCCAGCGCCGCCCCAAAGAGAAGGCGACACAGCACAACCGAAAGCCGACCGAACCCACAGCAGACCACTGGAAACGACGGGCCGCAGGCAGCCCAGATCGGGCGCGCCGACGCAGCAGCGCCGCGATAGCCGAACGGGCCGAAGCGGCCGAGCGCAACCGACTGCGACGCGGCCGAATCGACCGAACCGCGGACACGTTTGGATGGGTTCTTTTACAGCGTGGTTTCCGGGGGTCCGTTTTTCAAGCCTTCTGCCCTGACCTTTTCTGCGCGCGAGGAGGTCTGGCCTCGGGGTCAAACACCATCCCCCGGACCTGTCCAGGGGCGCGCTCTGGCCAGCACTTCGAGGAGACTCTGGCCGCGACCACAAAGTGGGCATCGTTTGACCGATGCCTATCCCCACTGGCGCGGCTGGGGCCCAACTGGTTGATTTACCCCTCCTGGATGGGGGTACTGCAGGATGTCCCCTTCGGGTCTCGAAGGGCCTCTCCCCACCTGGGGGTTGCGATGGTGGGGCTTCACGGCCACGGCCCGAACAGGTCCAACGATGCTGACAAATTGCGGAAATCGCAAAGCAACTCCCGCACAGTTCTTGACCTCCTGGTGACCAAACAAGGGGTCCGGCTGAAAGTTGCGCCAGCGGGTTGTATTGCACTGTATGCGACGAATGCATCGCACTAGAAAATCCAGCAGTACATCTGCGCCAGGAAATGTTTTGCACCCCACAAATCGATTGCAACCCCACAGAACTATTGCACCAAATCTATTGCACTACCCCCTTGTCGCAGGGTCCCCTGTTGGCTCAACCACGTTCCCGCGGCGCGGGGATCTGTTGCCCCCGCGGGCGGCGGATGTGAATATGTGTTGGCCCCCGTGGGCCTGAATATGTCCATATCCGCCGCCTGCCGAGGTCCCCGAAAATTGATCCTCTGGGCGTTTGGGCCCCTCCCGAGACGGGCGAAAGTGCGTGGCAGACAAGGAAGACGAGCGAAAGCAGCAGGGAGGGGGAGGAGGGGAGGCGGAGGACCAAGCCCAGAGAAGGAGGAGGAGGAGAAGGAGGAGGAGGAGGAGGAGAAGGAGGAGGATAATAAGGATAATGAAAGAGGAGGGGGAGTAGGAAGAGGACGAAGAGGACAATGAACCATAATGAAGGAGGAGGAGGGGGAGGAGAAGGAGGCGGAGGAGGGAGGTAGTGAAGGAAAATGATGGAGGAGGAGGAGGAGGAGGACAATGAAGGAGAATGAAGGAGGAGGAGGCGGAGGGGGAGGAGGAGGAGGAGGAGGATAATGAAGGAGAACGAAGGAGAAAGGAGGAGGAGAAGGGGAGGACAATGAAGGAGAATGAAGGAGAGGAGGAGAGGAGGAGGAGGAGGAGGAGGAGGAGGAGAAGGAGGAGGAGGAGGAGGAGGAGGAGGAGGAGGAGAGGAGGAGAGGGAGGAGGAGGGAGGATGAAGGATAATGAAAGAGGACGAGGAGGAGGTGGAGGAGGAGGAGGAGGAGGACGAGGAGGAGGAGGATAATAAAGGAGAACGAAGGAGGAGGACAATGAAGGAGAATGAAGGAGGAGGAGGAGAAGGAGGAGGAGGAGGAGGAGGAGGATAATGAAGGATAATGAAAAAGGAGGAAAAGGAGGAGGAGGAGGAGGAGGAGGAGGAGGTCTTGTACAAATCCCCGCGTCGGATTTCCCGCGAGCGACGCGGGGGATCCGTCGGCGCCCCCCATGGCGGCCAGAGCTCCTCGGCCTCGCCGAAGGCGTCCACCTCGTCGGACTGCGCCGCGCCGGGCCCCCCGGGCGAGAGCCTGCCGCCGCGAGGTCCTCTCCGGCGTCAGAAGCACTTGGTTTAGTGAAACCTGGCTTATGTTGCTCCCATCGCACTTAAGGAGCACATCCCAGACAACAGAAATTGAGCACCCAGAAAAGTGTCGAAACAGTATCGAATGGCTATCGTCTCCCAGGGCCCTACACGCGAAAACCCTCCAGTTTCGGTAACTTGTTGGTGCTCGAACTGATTTTTGGTCATCAAGGCTAAAGTAGGTTGGGACATCACAAGTTTGGTGATGTTTACTGGGGGACGCCCCCCCCCCCCCCCGCCCCGTTCCACTAACCGGAGCTGCCGTCACCCGAAAAACACCAGCTACGGCAGACCTGGCTTATAGTGACGCTGGCCGATTCAGGAGCTCTGAGGCCCCACTACTAAACGGGTCCCCTTACTTGGGGTCCTGGCTATACCCCGTCCTTGGCCCCGCGCGCGGGTGCCCCCTCGGGGTCGCTCCCCTCGCCTCGGCATGGAGGAAGGCGGTCCTGAACAGATCGGGGGCGCGCAAACATCGCTAATCCACGCCTCCTTTAGAACAGAAGCCCGATGTGGTACAACAGGGCAGCCCCAGCCAGAAATGCTCGGAGAACATCATCTTCGTGGAGACCACGAACGGTCCTTAGCACAGCCTCTGGCACAGGCGAGCCAGGACGCTTCGCCACTGCCTGACCGTTGCCGCCATGGCGATCGTGCCGACGCGCGCCGCCGCCGCCGCCGCTCGCCGCCGCCGCCCGGGAGCGCGGCCGGCGCCCTGCCGGCAGGGGGCGGGAGAGGCGGCCACGCGGTGGAGACGCCGTCCGTCGCCGTCGCCGTCGCCGTCGCCGTCGCCGCCGTCGCCGTCGTCGCCGTCGCCGTCGCCGTCGTCGCCGTCGTCGCCGTCGCCGTCGCCGTCGCCGTCGCCGTCGCCGTCGTCGCCGTCGTCGCCGTCGCCGTCGTCGCCGCCGTCGCCGTCGTCGCCGCCGCCGTCGTCGTCGTTTTCTTCGTCGTCGTCGTCGCTGCCGTCGTCGTCGTTTTCTTCGTCGTCGTCGTCGTCGCCGTCGTCGTCGCCGTCGTCGCCGTCGTCGCGATCGGCGATGCGGCGGCGATGCGGCGCGATCCTCCGACCCCATCTGCTCCGACCCCATCTGGGAGGTCTGGATCGAGGGGCGGCGGCGGCGGCGACGGCAGCCGACAGCGGCCCGCGGTGCGGGCCCGCGCGGATTGCTCCTGGCGCCCCGGGCGCGCGCCGCCGCCGGCGGGGCCTCGGGGAGCCGCTGGCGTTGGGCGCCGCGCCGTCGATCGGCGGGCCGCGGGCGCTGCTCGGGCTGCCTGGCGGGCTCCAGCACGGGGCGTCTCCTCCCCGGTCGTCGGTGTTCGGCGGCGAGCGAGGGGGGGGAAATGAGAAGGAGAAGAAGGCGGCGGGACTTCTCAGTAGCCCTTGCACCTTCTGAGAGGTTTTTTGTTCTGTCTTCGGGGAGGGCTCAGACAACTCCTCAGAAGGCCGGGGGACTTCCGAGACTTCTGAGAAGGTCCACCCCTTCTCACTCCTCCTCGCTCGCCGCCGAGATGTCCGAGAGGTCGAGGAAACTCCGGACCTCCTCCCCAGCACATTCCCTAAGATCCTATGGCGGTCTGCATTGGTTGCTCACAGCGGGCGTGTTCGCCTGGCGTCGGTCCCCGGGGCACTCACAGCTCGATGCGGCTCGAAAAGAACGCGGAACGATGGGGTCTGGTCTAGGGCTGCCGGCGTGTTTGGGGGGCGTTGTTGCAGGGGCGCGTTTCTCATGGAGCTCAAGCAAGCTCACTTTGCATGGGTTTGTTCCGCCGCCTTGTGAAACAATAGTGCTGAACCGAAACGGCGTGCGAGTGAATTTCGACTTGAGTGAAATCCAAGAGTTCCTTTAGGGTTCCGCCAGCCATCCCCCCCCCCCCTCCCCCTCCACTCAGTAAACTCGCCAGAGCCAAACGAAGAGCAGCCTCTCGAGGATCCCAGGCCTCCACCCCAGCACGGCCGACGTCGCGACGTTTTCAGGACCCCCGGGATCAGACTTTGGGTCGAGACAACAAGGACGCCCCCTGGTTGTCGAGGTTCCAGAGGTCAAGGATTCCAGGCCTCCTCCCTAGCACAACCGACGTCGTGATGTGTTCACGATCCCCCGCGTCTCCAGCTGTCCAGGCTCGAGAGCTCGAGGACCCCGGGCGGCCTCCGCCAGGGACGCGCGACGCCGCTATAGTGCTCCCACGATCCCCACGAGTCTGGACCCCTTTCTGGGGGCCGCTGCTTCCTCCTGCTTGCAAGCGGTGAGGGCATCAGATAATCGGGAGCGGCCAAGAGGGGGGTGTCCGAGAGGGGGGGGTGCAAATCATGACCGGCGGCATGTGCGCGGCCCAGCGGGGGGGCCAGGGACGTAATGAAACAAGAAGAGGCGCCATGAAACCTGGGGAAATATCATGGCCCCCGCCATGATATTCACCCCCCCCTAGT